TTTTTTTAATGTTTATTTATTTTTGAGAGAGAGAGAGAGAGAGAGAGACAGAGCATGAACGGGGGAGGGTCAGAGAGAGAGGGAGACAGAATCCGAAACAGGCTCCAGGCTCTGAGCGGTCAGCACAGAGCCCGACGCAGGGCTCGAACTCACGGACCGCGAGATCATGACCTGAGCCGAAGTCGGCCGCTTAACCAACTAAGCCACCCAGGCGCCCCAGAGCATATGAGTTTTAACCCTTCTTGTTACTTCTTTTATTATGTTATAATGTGAAATGTCTATCAGCCACATTGGAGAATATTATAAAAATCAGCTATTTAAATAATTGTGGCAGTCTGACAGGAAGCTGATCGCTGAGTCATGTGGGACCCTTTGGAGTGGCTCTGGCCTCAGGGCCAGGAAAAATTGCTTCGGCAGAGCAACAGGTGTGTGTCTGACCTCGCAGCTACAGTAACTTCTGAAACTACTCATTCAGCTTTGGCTGCTGGGAAATTTAATTTGTGATTTATTTCCAGTCACTTCACAGGATCATATGGATTGCTTTTTGGACACTGACTTACTTTCCTCTTATTTCCTGTCACTCTTATTTCACAAATCAATGTAAGATTGGCAGCCGTTAGAGCCTACGTACACGTCTACCTATATTTATATACTTACATTTATATGTAAACAGATGTGTGTGGATATGTGCCTGAAAGCCAGGTTGCAGGCTTCTGAGAGGTGAAACGATGTGATCAGATAGAATGAGTTGGGGAAAGAAGAGAAAGGAAGGGAAAGAGGGCAGGTTGGGCTGTGGGGTCATCACTTTGGAGGACGCTGAATGCTAAGAGTCTGACATTTACCCCGAACATTAGAGACAGTGGTAAATGCTTTGAAAATTCTGAGCAAAGCAATGACATGGAAACAGCAGTAGCTCAGAAAACTTGCTGTGCTACAGGGTCGAGGCTGGGTGAACGAGGACATTGAGGGCCAGATGACGAGTTAAGGGCTATTTTGATCATGAAGGAGTGAGGCACGGATGTTGTTAGTAAGCTGACAGACACTGTATTTTAGGAGAAGGATTGGATGTAACAGGCTTTAGGAAAGAAAAGGTGACGTGGCCAGTAAATGTAGCTTTTTCTTGCAACAAAGCCCGTGACATCCAAGGAAGCAAGCTCTGTACGACCCACAAACTTATGGAAACAATCAATTCCATTTGGTCTATTCTGCTTCCACTGCCGAGCATTCTGACCTGGGCAAGCCACAGGAGAAGCCAAATCATTCCAAAACCTCTCTTAGAAGGTACGTTTTATTCCTTCCAGAAATTAAGCTGCTGCTGATTATAAATGACAGCTAACTCCGCACATGCAAATTACACCCGCTATTAAAGGCCTCCTGCCTTCCTGAAACATGATACCATGTGAGCCCAGCACCTCGCAGATGGAGACCCCGCCGTAATAAATACTTCTCGACACAGAAACCTGTCGAGATGAATTTCTTAGGCTCCAAGAAAAGCAGAAAAATAATCTCGAACACTTTGAATCTAGGAACTGAAGTAAACTGAATTTTGACCGAAGTAGTTTTGAATTTATAATCTCTGGGGAATGCACTAAGCTGGATTTACCTGTGCATTATTTTTTCAAAGCAAATCAGCAATACAGAGATTTCAGGAAGGACGTTTACAGTACAAACAGAACAAAATTCTCAGATAAGTAGAAGCCTGAAATATAACTGATGAGCTAATTGAAATCAAGTTTATATTCTCACATGAATACACACCCCACTCATTTCTACGGGGAAATATTTCAGAGAAACATGGTACAACAGAGCAGGAAGGGGCTTTATGACCACCCAGTTTAGTTCTCTCGTGTTACACACGGAGAGACCTTGTCTATCTTTCTCTGACTTATTTCCGTTAGCATCATGCCCCTGCGGTCCATCCACGTTATTGCAAATGGCAAGATTCCCTTGTTTTCAATGGCTGAATAATATTTCAATACACACACACACACACACACCACATTTTCTTTATCCATTCATCTGTCAGTAGACATTTAAGGTCATTCCCTGTCTTGGCTATTGTAAATAATGCTGCAAATGAGGGTGCAAATAACTCTTCAAGTTAGTGTTTTCATTTCCTTTAAATACCCAGCAGTGGAATTGCTGGATCATGTGGTTTTTCTATTTTTTTAAGGTTACTTATTTATTATGAGAGAAAGAGAGAGGGATAAAGAGAGACAGAGACAAAGACAGAGAGAGACAGAGAGAGAGAGAGTGCAAGCGCGCGCACGTCTGTGCCTGAGAGCAGGAGGGGCAGAGACAGAGCATCCCAAGCAGGCTCCTGCCCAGCATGGAGCCTGATGCGGGGCTTGACCTCACGACCCTCAGATCATGACCTGAGCCAAAATCAAGACTTGGACGCTTAACCAACTGAGCCACCCAGGCACCCCCTATTTTTAATTTTTTGAGGAACATCCATACTGTTGTCCACAGAGGCCGCACCAGTTTGTATTCCCACCAACACTGCCCACGGCTTCACTTTTCTACAACCTCATCCACACTTGTTATTCCGTGTCTTTTTGATTCTAGTCACTCTAACAGGTGTGAAGAGACACTGATGGCTAGGAGGTACATGAAAAGATACTCAACATAGTGATCATTAGGAAAATGCAAATCAAAACCACGGTGAGATAGGAGTCCCTTGGCTACAGATGACAGGATAAATCAGAGAGTTTGAACAGCTTTCCCAAGGCCACCCGGGGTGTCAGATACAGAATGGAATAGAGTCCAGCAGAACAAGCAAGTATGTTTTCCATTTTACCACTGGGCCTATCTCTAGCCCATCTGTGATGGTTAATGTTGTGTGTCCATTTGACTGGGCTACAGGGTGCCCAGATATTTCATTAAACATTATTCTGGGTATGTGTGAGAGGCTGCTTCTGGATGAGATTAACATTTGAATCAGTAGACTGCCCTCCCCAGTGTGTTAGTTGTTATCGTTGTTACCCAATCAGTTGAAGGCCTGACTAAAACAGAGACTAACCCTACCTCAAGAGGGAAGTCTTCCTGCTCACCTGCCTTTGGGCCTGGACACTGTTTTTGCCCTGCCTTTGGACTCAAATGGAAGTCTGGCTCTTCCTGGGTCAGACCGGAACTTCCCTGTTAGCTCTCCTGGGTCTCCCACTCACCAACTGCAGGCCTTGGGACTTCCAAGCCTCCACAATCACATGAGCCAAATCCTTTTCATGAATAACCCCCGTCCCAGCTACTTTTCAGACACACACCCGGTTGGTGCTCTTTCTCTGGAGATTCCTAATATAGTATCAGACAAACTTTTAGCTCAAAGAAAAGTCTCGATGAATATGGCGGATACCGTGGATAGGCTACCCAAAAGCCATTCCCAACCTTCCTCTCCCGTCTTCCTCTAATTTAAAGGCTGAAAACCTAAAATGTAGTTTCCTCACCTCTTTCACAGTAAAGGTGATCATACGACACAGTTCTGAACAATAACACGCAGGTGGAAATCCCCAGGAAACTTTTCCTTTGTTCTCTGCCTTCTTTTTCGTGTCCAGAGGCTGGACACACTGACTCAGCGTTGAGGGTGCCAGTCACCCTGGGGCCATGAGGACAACTGACACGCGTAGGGATGGGTACGGAGGAAGGTCGAAGGATTCTGGGTCTGTGATGAGGCCTGTGAGCGGCTGCTCCTGTCTTAGACTGCTTCTCCAGAATTCTGGAGACAAATGTACCATACCTACCAAAGCCAGTTTTAGTTGGGTTATCTGTTATTTGAAGCTCAACCTTTCCCTAATATACTATTCCAGCCAGGTTTCAACCAGAACAAAAACCAAAAGTGAACATGACCCCAATTCTGGAAATAAATAAATAAATAAGTACTTAATCAAATTTTTTTGTAGGTCTACACAATACAGATGGCATGGGAGAGGCACTAAGTCCAACACTTCCCATTCAAGGGTGCTGGCGGGAAGGAAGCTCGCTTCCCGCTACTCTGGTCTGGGGAAATCCCAAGGGATCCTCTAGAACTCCAGCATGCTTGGTTGTGGCAAAAGGCTAACACCGAGATAGAATGAATCTTGGGGAGCTATGAGCAGGGGTTCCAACTTTTCCCATGTAGCTCATTTATTTCTAAAAGTTCTTTTTAATGAAAAACTAATCATGCTCATGGATTCCTGCATCATTAGAATGAGCTCCGGTCCTCTCTCCATCAATGCTGCCACCAGAGACCACACATGGCTGCGGCAGTGGAAGGAACGCTAGGTTTAGTCAAACGATCTGGGTTTGAGACTGGGTTCTGCCACGTCTTGCTTCGTCCTTTCCCACAGGCAGATCTGTGAACGTTCTGAGCTCCACTTCCTAATTTACAATTATTGAGTTAAACGACACTGGGATTACAAAAGAATTCCAACAAATTCAGAATACTCTACCAAAGTAAGATTTAATCAGGTCACTCGACTGTGTGCAAACTCAAAGCAGATAGGTCTGATGTGAGGGAAGTACAGGAGAAAAGCTCATTCTTTATCTTTATGGCATTTTTTTGGCCCTTCTTCCTTTCTCAGAGAGACAAAGTTGCTGGATAAGTGATCTCTGTCTGACGAAGTGCTACAGCAAAAAGCCTTACAGAACAAACCTGAGGAAATAAAACACAGGCTACAACTTGGTATGCTTATTACCAAGCAGTAGTGGTTACCAGTCATAAGGTCACCTGACCCTCTCGTTGTGGGCTCTAACAGCACCCTGGCCTCAGTGTCCTAATGACCCGTTTAATGCCTCTCTGCCCTGTAGAACCTGAGCTCTCTAGATCCTTACCTGGCAGTAAACCTCTCACTGCTTCGTGGGGGATAAAAGTTCAAGAGGCTAAAATATATGCAGCACGACGCATCTTTTTAGTTTCCCCCTCCGTGCTGAGAGTCCTTCTGGATTCACGCAATAAAAGCAGAGTTCTCTGAAAGACCACAGGAGTCTTTCCTGGGAGATGTTCCGAGCTGGTTCCACACACATACCTTGTCTTGGGTTTGGCATCGAATACAGTCACATTCAAAACAGTACTGGTCCCTCAGCTGCTTCCGGCGCTCCTCGCTGGTCATCAGCATGTCCAGGTAGCAGATGGTGAGCTGGGGGGGCCAGAGAGAAGAGGGTCACGTGGCTGTGGTGCTCATTTTCTTTAACAAATGGTTACTGATTATTTAAGCAACACTTTTTTTTTTTTTTAATGTTTACTTATTCCTGAGAGAAAGAGAGAGAAAGAGACATAGCATGACCAGGGAGGGGAAGATAGAGAGGGAGACACAGAACCCGAAGCAGGATCCAGGCTCCAAGTTCTCAGTACACAGCCTGATGTGGGGCTCGAACCCACAAACTGCGAGATCGTGACCTGAGCCAAAGTTGAACACTCAACTGACTGAGCCATCCACGTGCCCTTCAGCAACACGTCTTTATTACACACCAAAAAGTGCAAGAGGAAAGTACTAACAATCTCGCTACGCAAATAATCACATGTAAAATTTTAATGCCATTACCTTCCAGCATCCGTTGTGTGGTGAGCGCACGTATATTATATATGTATTATAAAAAACTGGACTCATGACCTCTCTACACTTTTACACCTCACTTTTTATTCACCAAATAAGAGACTACCGAGCGCCGTTGTGTTTGGTAGTACTAAGGTTGGGCAGTAAAATCGATCACCGCCAGCAATGGGAGAAGGTGCATCAATCCTGGCCCCCAAGCGGGTGGCGGACTGATGCACCCAGATGCTCTTAAATCCTGACCAGTCCTGCAGCTGCCTCATGGAACGAAACGTCAACCCAATTTGGTGCCTCTGAAGTTGGAGACTCTTTTCTTACTTGTGATGAGATAGGAAAAAAAAGAAACCACTTCCAAGTAGGGAGAATTAATGTCAGCATGCGATCTTGGAGGGAGGCTCTCAAACTGACTTCCTTGGACACTTTCGAACTAAGTAATTACACCATCTAGGATGTTTCTCTGTAGCGCTCAGGTTCCCCTTCTGGTCACAGGTCTTCAGGCAACGTCACGATGTCCACACATGCCTCACTCAACCCCATCTATACGCTCAAAGTCTAATTCAAAATAAACAAAATGGAACCCCTGAGTCCCCTGGCCTGTTCCACCCGGGCTGGAGCCGTCCCAGTCCCCGCTGACAGGAATGCATCTTTTGTGTCCTTCAAGCAGAAACCCAAAGTCACCCTTGACCTCTCTCTCCCTCTCACGCCCTCACCTGATCCGCCAGGAAATTCTGTGGGCTCAATCTTAAAAACAAAACCAGGAATCCACCACTTTCTACCTTTTCCAACGTGACCACCCAGGTCCGAGTCGCCCTCCTCTCTGGCCCGTAAAACGCAAGTCTCTGCCAGTCTCCCTGCTCCCCCCACAGACCCCGATGCCCCCTGCGCTCCACCCTCCAGGCGTGATTCTCAGTGATTCTCTTCAAACAGAAGACAGATAGGCTCTTCCCTGTGCTCAAAACACTCCAACAGCCCCTGCTCTTGCTTACAGGCCAAGTCCTGATGAGGGATTCCTACAGCACAGCTCAGCCTGTGCTTCTGTGCTAAAGTCAGGAAACAATCGCAAGCTAACATTTAGAAACTTCTACAGGTACCTGGTAAGAGAACTTTACGGGACTCTAACAATAAAACATTAGACTTTTATTTCCTATGTTTTAAAAATTTCATTTTTCTAGTAATTTTTGTCATTAAGTTCTACAAAAATGTTAGTCTGCAATGGATAAGAACTAGTAACAACCACCGCCAGCCCCACTCCCTCTCTGAACTCCTCCCCCGGCCAGCCCTCACTCCTCCTGTCCCCACGCACTCACACGTGCCAGGCCAACACAGGATGTATCCCGGGGCGCTGCCCCCAGAACCCTCTATGGGGCCTCCCTCACCGAGGTCTAACCTGGACCCTCCCTTGCTTAAAATAACAACCTGACTCCAGCCCCACCCAGGGTCCCTCATTCTAGTTTTTCCTTTTCTAGTTTTTCCTTTTCAGTGTCATATGTCAGCTTGTAACATGTTGTGTAAAATACTTCTTCATTTGCTTTTACATGTAGAAAGTAATCATGGGGGCAGGTGCGGTAGGCAGGAGTGGAAGAAGGCAGGACCGTCCGCTGAAGGAGGTAACTAAAGCTCCCTAGAGCCAAACAAAATCCCACATGCTTTTTCTTAGACTCAATAGAAAGCATCTCACGTCTACCAAGCCAGATCTTACGTGCCGGAAAGTACGGTAGGGCTCTTGACAGAAAACATAACTTTGGGTGGGCCTCAGTCTGCCAGCCCTTGTCCCACCCACCGTGGCCATCACCAGGGTGACAGAAGCCAGGGCCAGGTCTGGCTGGCTGGCTGGCTCTCTCTCTAGATCCTCTCGACAGTGTTATCGAGGATCCGCTATGTGCTAGGCACTCCCAGAGAGAGGCAGCGTGAGACTGTGGAAATCAGCAAAGGTCTGGGATCCATCTGGGATTTGCACCCACAGCCCTTGACTCAAGCCTGACACTCTTTTTACAACACAGCCACTTCTCATACTTTGGTGGGCCCAAGGGGAGATTCGCTTCTTGGGGGGGCTGTGCCAGCATCAACCCTAAAACGCGTAGGTCTGCACTCAGCAGCGTCCTGTGACCACTGGGCTCCTTTAGCCGGGACCACGGCCACTTTTTCATTCCCCGAGTCCTTTTCCTTGCTTTGTGATGTGCACCCAGGGCTGCCTGGGAGATGCAAGTGGCCATGATATCAGGCGAGTTCTTCCTGTTTACAGACAACACTGTGTTCCAAATTCCAAGTAACCCATTTCCGACCACACTTTTGAAACCGCCCGTTAGTAAGTCTGGGGCAGTACACGTATCCATCTGGTCTTAACAGGCTCTGAGGGACCCGGGTTCCTTAAACGAGGTGATGGTAAAACGAACTGAACTCTGTGCTCCCTCTTGAGTTAACCCTGGGGCTCGAAGTCTCCATCTGCCCCAATGGCTCTCAGTCATGCCCCCGCCCCCCCAGCAGATCAGATCAACTCGCAGTAGTTACTGGGAGAGTACCATGTGCCCAGTGGGAAGCCAATGAATCCAGGGCCAGAGAGATAACCTTGACTAACCCAAGGCTAAACTGCAAGGGCCAAAACTCTGAGTGATCGCGCCAGGAGGCAAACGGGCAACAGGAGACTAGTTACATCATTTAACCCCAACGAACAGACTCGGGCACCCTCCCGCACTACGCCGTAACTGCCTGCGACCGCTACCGCTATCGGGACACTGGCTTTCCAACGGGCCTCCCTGCTGCCCGCCGTCCACCTCTCGTCTTCCAGACCGCTCTGAAAGAGCTTCCTCAAACTCACATCTGATCACGTCTCTACACGAAGACTGGTGACGGCCTCTCGCTGCCGGCGGGGATAAGGCACACAAGGGCTTCTCCACTGCTCTTCGGTCTGCCTTTCTGCCTCAGTATCTCTCCGGACACCCTCCCGTCTTCAGGTGTGCACACCACTAGGCCTCTGGAACAAGGCACACGGTGCCAGCGGGTGCTGCGTCTCCCTGCCCTGGCTAGCCAGTGCCTTCCCCACACTACCCACTTTTTCAGAGCATTCTCATCCCGCAAGCTTGGCTCCAAAACACTTCTCCGGGAAGACTGCCCCGTTCCCCACCTCCGTGCCTCCTCTGTGCCCTCTATGCCACCAGATACACTGTGTGAAAACTGAAGGTCTCAATGGCAAAACATTGTTATGCCTATTTTGGGGGAGAAAACACAGATTACTAACTGGTAATGACAGTTAAATCATTTTATCAGCCAAAGATAAAAACCTTTATTGAAGACTGACTGATTCACTGCTCTCAATGAAGAATCTGCTCACTAAATGTTGGGCTCATTTAGCAGGAACGTATTTGTGAAACTCTGCCATTGATCAGTGGATGCCTTAATGGCACAGAACAAAATCGCATTAAAATATTAATGCCACTGACCATTGCTCTGCCATTTGAGAGCAGTTTTTATGGGAAAGGCAGTAAATCATCCCAACATTAGAGTAATAACATGAAAGATATTTGCTGGATATCGGACATGCTGCTTACTTGAAAATTTCAAGGCAAAATGAACCCTTTTTCCATGAAGCCCATCTTTTCATTATGTACAACAGAGTGGGTAAAAAGATCAAATTAAAATTAGACTTCGCTTCCATTTCTGGAATTACACTGTCACAATTATAAATTTTTCTGCTAATACGGGCTCTGAACTGAAAGATGGCAAATCTCACTTCTTTTTTAAAATCAAACCTGAGTGTTATTCTTTCTCTTCTCATTGTCACACCCTTGTACTCAGCCATTATCAAATCCTGCCAATTTTAGCTTCCAGCATTATTCTCTTCAGCTCCCTCATCACGAGCCACCAGGTGAATGCCTCCCGACCTCAGGACGCCACTGTCACCTCGCCCCCGGATCACTGCATCCACCTGACCCTCATGCTCCCACACTTGCTCACACGTGCAAGGTCTGATCACACAACTCCTCTGCTTCTACGGTGCCCCACTGTCCGTCCCCATCCCTTCCACAAGTACCTAATGAGGACCTCCTATAGGCCAGACGCCATAACGGGCCCCACGGGTCCCTATGATAATGTCTGGTCCCTGCATATTCCCTCATCTGCCAGTCACATTTGAAGACATCAGTCTATTGAGAAGAATGCTTCCTGTTCCTTGAAGTCACCATTCCGTCTCTTGCCTCTGTGCATTTGTCTAGGACGCCTTCCCTGTCTCAGCCAACCTGAGCTCTATGGGTCCTTCGAGAGTCTAGGAGTTACTTCTCTGGACATTTTTTGTTTTTTGTTTTTTTTTTTTTTTTACCTTAACTGGAAAAAGCAGGAATATTTTGATAGCCTTCACAGATAATTAACGGATATTCTTCTATGGTATTACACCAGCATTTTACAAGAGGTAGTTTCTTAAAGATTAGTAGAAATGTGGAATCTAAAATCACATAGGTAAATGTCTTGAACTCAGTTACGTTCAAATCCACTGGTCTGGGGCGCCTGGGTGGCGCAGTCGGTTGAGTGTCCGACTTCAGCCAGGTCACGATCTCGCGCTCCGTGAGTTCGAGCCCCGCGTCAGGCTCTGGGCTGATGGCTCAGAGCCTGGAGCCTGTTTCCGATTCTGTGTCTCCCTCTCTCTCTGCCCCTCGCCCGTTCATGCTCTGTCTCTCTCTGTCCCAAAAATAAATAAACGTTGAAAAAAAAAAATTAAAAAAAAAAAAATCCACTGGTCGAACTCGGCATGGATCTTCTATTCAAGCGTGATCTGGTAACATCATGCATCGGTCCACTGAACTATGGCAACCTTCCAGATACCGACACGTTTCATCATCTGATATGAAAAAAAATCCAGTCACTGCCATGGCCACCAGTATCGCAGGGAAAGTCTTTCGAGATCCGAGGGGCGTCATGCTACTGGTGGTGGATACAGGTCTTCCAAAATACTGACGTGTAATTGAAAGCTTCGGTTTTTTTCATTAGCAACAAGTACTGGCAGTTGTCATCCTTCAAGTGACAGGCTCACTTCAACCTCTTCTTCTCTCCCTCTTTAGTATTTACTTATTTTTTTATTTAAATTCATGTTAGTTAACAGACAGGGTGGTCTTGGCTTCAGGAACAGAACCCAGTGATTCATCTTTTACATACGACACCCAGTGCTCATCCCAACAAGTGCCCTCCTCAAGGCCCACCACCCATTTAACCTACCCCATCTCCCCTCCAGCCACCCTCAGTTTGTTCTACGGAAGCCTTTTTCAACCGCTCCCCACTACTGCCCCTTACCACCGCCTGGGTGCCCCCAGTCTGAATGTCTACAAAGCCCTATGTGTATTTATACCACTGTCCTCTTTATATTGTTATTGTTCACTCTTTTCTGTTCTGTGTCCGTTTCGTCCATTATACCTCGAGCTCCCGAAAGCACGGGTGGGTCTTACTCGTCTTTGTGTTCCCAATGCCCCCCGCAGTACATGACACCCAGTTAAGTATGCAGTGAATTTGTCAAGTGACTTAGCACCTAAGCAAAGATGACCGAGAGGAGAAACACACTGCCTGAAACCCACAACACTTTAGATCAAAACTAGTATTACAGACACTGATATACTCAGCTCATGCAAATCACATTTGTCCTGAAAATGCTGGCAGCCAGAGGCATTATTCGTAACAGCTACAGCCTCTTTTAACGAGGAATTCCCACAAGGGTGCCCCGGACTGTCCAGCTTTCTTCCCTGATCCATATTTTGGAAGACTGCCAGCCGATATATACATTTCATAGCTTGACAAAACCCTGAAGCAGCCATCAGCAATCCAGCACGTGAACCATGCCTTAAACCCTAATTAAACATCATTGCTGGATGAGGAGACAAAAAACCCAAAAGCAAAACCAAAGCAAACCAAACCAAACAGACCTAACAACTCAACATCACAATGAAAATCCTTAGGTAGCAAAGTGTTGTAAATGGTGCTGGTTTGAAGGGAAATGGTCCAAAAGTGGTCGGAAGGGTGGCTTTATGTGAGGAGATGTCCCAGGTAAGAAATTTCCATGGTGACCTTTGTTACTGTGGAGACTGTGCAAATTCCCAACTCTCCTCATTTGGGTCTAAGATGCTCTTATCTCAAACTGGCAGTGCCTGGCTTTCATGTTACTTTCCTCGTGGGGCCCATGGGATATACCTGAAAATTAGCGATAGTTTCAAAATGGCTCTAAGATTCTATCCCACTTCTGGTTGTCTTTAACAAGCTTTATTCATTCACTCAACAAACACAGATTAAGAATCTTGCCTATTATAGACACTATATAGTCTTCCTCGTGGAGCCTACATTCTGGTACTTATATCCCACTGAGCACATAATAAAACTGGGGTGCACTCATGGGCAATAAAGCCAAAATGCAAAGTTGATGCTATGAAATTGCCAAAATTCTTTTTTTTTTTTTTTTTAACATTTATTCATTTTTGAGAGAGAGAGACAGAGGCGAGCAGAGGAGGGGCAGAGAGAGAGAGAGACACAGAATCCGAAGTAGGTTTCAGGCTCTGAGCTGCCAGCACAGAGCCCAACGTGGGGCTTGAACCCACAAATCATGAGATCATGACCTAAGCCAAAGTCGGATGCTTAACTGAGCCATCCAGGCACCCCAAAATTACCAAAATTCTTCAATTTACTTCCTTACCCGACTTACCAAAAGCAACTATTTGCACAATAAAAAGGAATTACCTCTCTTAATCCACCTCAAAATAGCTCTTCTCCTGGTTCTCCCTCTGGCCCACCTCTGCCAGTTTTAAATGTGCAGGATGTATGTTAGTTCTTCGAGGCAGGTGGCTACAGGCATTAGCTGAGCAGGGACTCAGGACACCAGCCTTCAGTGACCCAAAAGTGAATGATGATCCATCTAGAATGTCAACAGTGCCCTTGGTGAGAAGCACTCCTGGTCTTTACAGTAAGGGCAATTTAATAGGAAGTCAAATCAACAACGAGTAACGAAATGCCTCCTGGGTGCTAGGCCAAGTGCTGGGTGATAAAGGAGATAGAGAAGTAAGACACGATGTCCGGTCCTCATGAAGCTTATGGCAAACAGAGAAGTCACCAAAAGAGCCAGAAAAACTACACAGAAATATTAATAACCACCGTCAAGGAGATCTCGAAGTGAAAGACCTTCCTTTAATTTGGGACATCGGGAAAAGCTTTATCGACAAGATGATGTTTGAAAGGGCCTGGAAGGGTATGTAAAATGGGGGCGGGGGACAACTGTGCAGAGAAATGTCACCCACCAAGGCATGCACGATGAGGTGGGGAAATTTTTATTTTCTGAAAAAAAGAAATCCAGCTCATTGACAGAGAAAACAGACTGGTAGTTACCAGAGGTGGGGTGAAGCGGGTCAAAAGGTGGAAAGTTCCGGTTATAAAGGAAGTCCTAAGGCTGTGATGCTCAGCACGGCAACTATAGGTAACGATCCTGCGAAGCACATTTGGAAGTCACTATGAGAGTAAATCTTAAAAGTTCTCATCACAAGAAAAAAACGTTCTGTGACTATGTGTGGTGACGGACGTTAACCAGACGTACAACGGTGATCATTTCGCACCAGATGCAAACGGCGCATCGTCGCGTCGCCCACCTGAAGCTTACATCACGTGGTATGTGAATTATGCCTCAGTTACACCACATCATCTTCCGAACAGGATGGTAGAAAAGGACTTGTAGGGAGAATCCTGCCTCTCTGGCAGGAGAAGCCGCTCTGGTAAGTGCCCGGCGGGAAAATACCCGAGTCTGGAGGGCCCGATGCTGAGCACAACTGTTCTGGGTGAAGCCGGAGGAGGGATCTGCTCGTTGCTCCAGAGATTTACGTGAAAAAAAGTGAAATAAGCACCAAAACACAAGACGCTTTTTCAACTAAATGAAAACCAACCCAGGAAAATAACTGGCAGCCACGCCTAGAAAACAAGACACGAGAAAATCTCTTTGTCGTTCCTGAGAATTGCGACAGTTTCTAACGGTTTTTCTGTTTGCTTCTCACGTGGCCGGTTTATTTTAATTCCGTAAAATCATCATGATATCGGCAGCAGCGTCGTCAGCAGCAGCCGGCCTTCAGCTCCGTTACTAACCCTAACCCAAAATGCACAGAGCCCTTTCTCGGCCGCCCTGAAGTCACATGTGTCCCCAGGAAAAACCACGAGATTCTCCACATCACTGACAGATACCCCAGTACACTGTTCCTAAAAGCTGGAAATTCGGCAAGTGGCTGCATAACAGCTCATTTGGTTGAAAATCCCTTTGGAGGGAGTCTTATCAAAGCCAATTCCCTGTCTACGTAAAATCTGGTGCCTCTGAGTTCAGGTTTTATTGGCTGGTTTTATTTATTTATTACCTGCATAAATGCAATAAAAGAGTATGATACTCTGCTTTCCTTGCAATAAACATCCACTTTAGCAAATTGGGAGGTAGAAGGAAAGTGGGTTCTCACAAGCGTAGACACCGATAACCCCGCATTCAGGGTGGTGCTTGTGCCAACCCTGTGTGGGCCCCCGTTCACCCTCAGCTGCCTCCTGAGACCTCGGGCTTCTGCAAACGAGGCCGGTGCGGCAGGCTACAAACCCAAAGGGTCAAGGCTAAGTCACTGCTGAAGGTTCTACGCCCTGGCCTCTCTTCCCCGTCACATCTTTGCTTGAACAATCACGCAGAGAGGCTTTGTAAAGGCCCAATGACAACTTGAAAGAGTGCAATTTGCTTACTTTCTTAGCATGAAGGGGAAAATAAGTCACCTTCAAAATGTGAGGAGTGGCCTGGGGAGTAAGTAAGCCCTTGGGATCCACTCACAAGCCGGCTGCCCTCCTGCCCGTGGAGGGATGACGACTGGCAGAGAGTGAGGGGGCAGGGAGCATCACACACGGGACACATACACTCGTCACACACTCTCTCTCTCTCTCTCTCTCTGGCACACGAACAACAGGAGCTACTGATACCCAGAGACAGTCCATCTGTCATCCTGGACAAGTACTGATGGGCACACGGGTCACTGGGTGGACCGTTACGGCTCCTCTCCCCAGCAGGGGGATGATGAGGAGCTGCCCCTCAGGCACAACCGGTTTCCGGAAGGGCTGCGTGGAGAGCGAGAGGGTCTCTGATGCGAGGGCAGGCCAGGCGCCGGGAAATCTTACCTCCTCTCCCGCCTCGATGTCGCGGACCGCTCGCAGCAAGAGGTGGGGCCCGTTGAACACGATGGAGCAGTTGGGGTCACAGCTGTGATTGAGCAAAGACATACTGCAGGAAGGAAAAACGGGGTACCGTCACTCAGCAGATACAGTCCAACATGTAAATTTCATGACTATAATGATAATGAGCAGAAGGCACTTCAGCCTGGGGTGCGGGGACAGGGGAGGCTGACAGTGCACCAGGGGCTGAGTGCCCTGGGGGAAGGCCCAGAGCTGTCACCAGCCCACGTCACAGTGAAATGCTCCCTGACACAACACGGAGGCTACTTAGGGAAGTGTGCTCTGAGTCCTTTCTGCGGGTGAACGCGGGGGACGGCTGTCTCATTAGACAGCAGCCGGGGACCCCACCACACGGCATCTGGTCCACGCGGCCCCTTTGCAGGACGCGCACGGCCACGCTGGGGCATGAGGAGAGTCCTCCCTCAGAACGCTGGCGGCATCCTGCTGTCTAGATCCCAGCGTGTGCGGGGCCACGACACAGGCGTCTTAGTGCCGGTGACCATCCGGGAAGGGGACTGGGTTTAAGCCGCACCATATCCGATAGTACTCAGAGCAGGTGCGAGGGAGCATTTACTGAGCAGGGAGCACCCTCCTGGCCCTTGCACGTGCTTTCCAAATGTAGTCACCACGCTAATCTCATGAGAGTCATTTACAGATGAGACAGACACGGGAAGCACACGGCACACGCCAGCATGTGGGGGCCGAGCCGGAACCAGGCGGTGCCAACCCAGCCAACCCAACCGGCACACCTGTGCCAGTGCTTTCGAACGACCCTCACCAACAGACCTGTGATTTTTCAGGCTTGTGAGAAATAGGAAAAGAAGCCGACTTCTCAGGCTCACGATTAGTTATAAGAAGGGCTATATGTGTATCCGGACCTTCCCAGCATGGAAACAAACGGAAGCGAGGCGGGACTGCGCTCGCGGAACGAGAACTGTGCGCTTCCGCCCAGAGGGCTGCGGCTTAAGACCCGGGCAGGGACCAAATCCCGGGCTGTCGTTTGTCAGCAGCCAAAATCCCCAACTTCTCAGGTTCCTGAGGGCAATAATTTAGGTCTGAGCTCTGCCTAAAGCTCTTTGTTGACACCACAGCATACAAAACGGGGTTATACAATTCTTCCCTGTAAAGTTCACATTCTCCATTTTCTTATCGTTTATCGTCAGGTTTCAAGCGTTGCTCTTGAACCCGCCGCAGCGACAGCCTTTCTAACACCTTCTGCAGGGCTGGGGAGCTGGCGGGAATTACGGTCGCTCCTCCCAGTAAAGGAGTAAGGGAGATACCGTTCGCCTTACCTCGGATATAGGCCAACGCCAACTTCCTGCATCTCTGCATTACAGACGGTGAAGGAGTTGCAGATCACCTGCAAAAACAAGAAGGAACACCACCAGGATTACCAGAGTCACCTAAGAAAAGTGGCAGGCAAGAGAACAGAAATTTCCAAAAGAAAATGCAGGAGTTTAGTGCTTTTAGTAGCTGCCTTGGAAAGATCCAAGCCAAACGCGGATGTTCTTTCAGTTGCAAAAGAATGTACCTGGAACACACTTTCCACAGGAACGTCAGGTGGGTAAGTGCAGAAATATCAACAACCTGCACAAAAATTCAGGCTTAAACCAGCACAGGGCCTATTAATTTCAGTCTAATCCTCTCCCCCGAAGTTACACACAGTTACATGAAAGGTTCAAATTTCAGAATACACATAATCTATTTACTGAGAACCAGACTCCTACCACATTGGATTTTTTCCCTCAAACCGCCTGCAGTTTCCAGATACTGTGTATCTGATGAGTAACAGCAGCCTGTCTTTCTCCTACAAAGAGGGAAGTACACCCCGAGAGAGCCTGTGATCTGAGCGGACGGGCCACAATGCGCTCAGAAAGTCCTCCCGTCAAGCCACAGCATTTTCTAGGCATGCGGGATGCCTCAGAGTAGACAGCATGGTCTTATACCCAACGGGGGTGGTGGGGCAAAAGGAATAAAAGATGGAATCACTGTGCTCAAGGAACCTCAAAACCTATGGACAACCACCCAGAATCACGAGAAGAGCCTTGACTTAGAATCAGAAAATCTAGATCCTGGCCACACATCGCTGTCTCAGGCAGGTGCTGGGGATGAGCAGTGAAGAAATTAAACAAAGATCCTGCCTTCATGAAGCTTAAATCCTAGTGGGGGAGACAGATAAAAACTCAAGGATAGAAAAATGTCACAGGTGAATAAAAGCTAAGGAAGAAACAAGGCCAAGGGACAGAGGAAAAAGTGCTCAGGAAAGCTCTTTAGCATAAGGTGACATTTAAACAGAGACCTAAGAAGCTGTGGAAATGAAATGTGCATATTGGAGTGGTGAAGGTTCGTGTCAGGAGAAAGAGCAAGTGCAAAGGCCCTGAGGTGTGAATATCCTTAGGTGTAGAGTAACAGCAAGAAAGCTGGCATGGGCAAAGCAGAGTGAGGGAGAAGAAGAGGGGGTAAGATATGAGATCAGAGAGGCAGCTAGATCTTGTATGGATTTAGAGCCACATCTAAATTTTATTCTAAACGAGTCAGAGAGCCACTGGGTTGCTTCTGAGCCAAGGCATGAATGGATCTGATTTCTGTTTGGAAAGGATCACTCTCCTGTGATGTAGAGAATGGGGCCATAGAAAGACAAGGCCGGAAGGAGAGGAAATGAGCAGCCCCGTGAGACTGGAGGCCGGGGGTGCCGGTGGCAGAAGCGGGGGGCTGTGACTGGTGCTGCTAACAGGATTTGCTCCCGGACAGCCTACATGGGAGCAGCGAGAGCCACGGATCGGGTTCGAGCGTGGGCCGGAATGAGATTACAGTTGCCATTCGTTAACGCGAGGAAGGCCGTAGAAGAAACAGGTGTGACTGCGGGAGCCCGGGGGCGAGTCCAGTGGCTCTGTTTCAGCCGCGCTCAGTCTGAAACGGCCCGTCACACGTCCCAGCCAAGGCTGCGTATGCACGAGCACCCAGAGTTCAGGGTACCAGCGGGGCTGGAGATGGACATTTGGGACAAAACAGAGCAAAGTCCATCAAGAGTGTAGACTCCAGAGGAACCGGGGACTACAAAGGGACGCTGACTTCCTGTTATAGTTTCTGTACAGGGCAACACAAGTGACGACGAATTTCTCTAAATCAGGTTTATATGAAAGATGTCATGTACGAAAAAGCGTTCGGTCCTTTGAGACCCTTCCAACTGCTCTAAAGAGCTCTTCCGTGAAATGTAGGGCAACCTATGGCTTGGCGTTTCCTCTAAAAATCTGATCAAACTGCAGTTTCCAATCAGGAAATAAACTGGTGCACACGCACATATTTTGAACACATACTGGTTAAATTGCTTTAAGGGCATGTGTTTCACATTAAATTGCAAGAGAGTACCGTCTGTACATATTTATGCATAAAATGGAGGGTGGAAAGAGGGGACAAAAGATCCTGTGTTTTCTTTTTGAAACTTTAAACATTAAATGGGTATGAATTGGGGGGTGGGGAACAGGAACTTTAACACTTATGTTTAAAGCATAATCAGGACTTTACCAAAAGTAATCCACCAATGAAAAACCAGATCAGACAGATCTAATTTGTTAACTTTTGGATCAAACCAAAATGTAAACATCTTTTCTGCGCCATACAGCACATGAGAGGCTCTTCCAAAATCAGTTTACTCCGACGGAATTTTTAAAAAGAAAGAGCTAACAAGGGTAAATGTCAGCTTGCTGTGTCTTCCTCCAGGAAACTTCCCGATCCCTCGGACTTAGCCACTTACTCATCTCTTCGGGGCATTTCTCACACGGGGTCATTGTGCACCCATTTACTCAGCACCACACACACCTATGGGTGTAAAATACACACAGGGCAGTGTTGGTGGTTCCTTACGCGAAAGACACTTCTAAAGGGTTTTCTGATGGATGGATGGTTGTGTGTCCCCAGAGGGTCACTGTCTAGAACAAGGGTTGGAGAAGATGCCAGAAATCACAGGTACCCCGTAGGTAGAGAAGAGAGATGGATGTCTGTGCTCTGACAAGGAGTACATTTCTTGTACTTCCATTTCTCTTGTCTTTAGCCATCCAATCTCTTGACATCCCTTTGTGCGTTCTCTCTCTCCACTCTAGCTCACCTTCTGTTTTATCCTCTTTTCCGCTAGTCCAGTGGATGACAGGCTTATGCATCAGAAGAGCACAAGGGGCTGTTTGATCGTCTGCTTAAAATGCCAAGGGCCTGAGGGGCACCCGGGTGGCTCAGGAGGTTAAGCGTCCGACTTCGACTCAGGTCATGATCTCACGGCTCATTAGTTCGAGCCCTGCACTGGGCTCTGGGCTGACAGCTCAGAGCCTGGAGCCTGCCTCGGATTCTGTGTCTCCTGCTCTCTCTGCCCCTCCCTTGCTCATGCTCACTCTTTCTCTCTCTCTCAAAAATAAACATTAAAAAAAAATGCTAGGGGCCTGGTACACAGGGCACAAAATAACTGTGCAAAATGAATGAATGAATGATGGTCCCCACATCTCTTGCACTATGTTTTCCTTTGTCTACTTTCTTCCCTTCTTTTCCTTTTCCTGTCTTCACTGGTACCGGTCGGCTACCCTCCTCTCCCATTTCGCCTCACTCCACAATAGAGGTAGGAGATTTTACATTTCTACTGAACAAATTCCAGACAAGTTCCTCATTCATATTATTCTGAGAGGCGCTGAGTGCTAGTGTTCCTGAGCTGAAACAGTTTAACTTTTTGCCCACTCTCACTTTTTTTAAATATATATTTTTAAATATTTATTTATTTTGAGAGAGGGAGAGGGAGAGAGTGAGAGAGAGAGAGAGAGAGAGAGAAGCAAAAAGAGGGAGAGAGAGAGAATCCCAAGCAGGATCCTTGCTGTCAGTAAGGAGCCCAACACACAGCTCGAGCCCATGAACTCTGAGATCATGACCTGAGCCAAAATCAAGAGTCAGATGCTCAACAGACTGAGCTACCTGCCTAAGCACGCCTGCCTACTCCCACTTTTATTAAAAATATTGATTTCACTCACTAGTATATCCTTATGTGCTCAAGTGAAAATCTGAGAATGAAGGAACTCATTCTTCAAATAAAAGAATGGAAATAAAGTCCAGAAATAAAAGTTTAACCGCTTTTCAAAGCATTTCTTGGTATAAACTGTTTTCTTGGGGAATTACACAGGTTAAATAACTAATGAATGAATACTTCACACAAAGATGCCTTTCAAAAAGCATATTATAGGGTGCTTGGATGGCTCAGTTGTTTAAGTGTCCAACTCTTGGTTTCAATTCAGGTCATGATTTCACGGTTCACAGGTTGGAGTCCCATGTCAGCTCTGTACTGGCAGCACAGAGCACACTTGGGATTCTCCCTGTCTCCCTCTCTCTCTGCCCCTCCCTCCCCGCTCTAAATAAATAAACTTTAAAAAAAAAAGCATATTACTGGGATTATTTCAATAAAAAAGCAATTAAGTTAAAACAATTCTTTCTAAAACCTGTTGGATTATTACTTTAAAATATTTACTATGACATAAAATTACAACATACGTTTAAGTTATCTTATAATTATCAAATATAGCTATGTATACTCTTCACAATATTTCTTTTGAAATATTCAGAAGCCTTCATAATATAACACTGTAGCCTTTCTAGATAGTAAAATTCTAGTGAGCTAGCACAAATGATCGCCGAACCTCTGTATTTTGTAAAAACAACTAAAGTAAAATTTTAAATGTTCTATGAACCATGATAAAAACTCTCAACAAAGTAGGTTTAGAGGAATGTACTTCAACATAATAAAGACCATATAGGAGATACACACAGCTAACATCATACTCAATGGTGAAAAACTGAGAGCTTTTCCCCTAAGATAGGGAGCAAGGCAAGGATGTCTACTCTCACCACTTTCATTTGTCACAGTACAGAAGTCCTGGCCACAGCAACAGAGAGGAAAAAGAGATTAAAGGCATCAAAATTGGTAAAGAAGTAAACTTTCACTATTTCCAGATGACATAATACTATTTACAGAAAACTCTAAAGATTTCACCTAAAACCTACTAGAACTTATAAATGAATTCAGAAAGGTTGCATGATACAAAATCAACATATAGAAATCCATTAACCTTCTCTTCATTATTAGTGTATTGAAAGAGAAATTAAGAAAACAATCCCATTTACAATCACACTAAAAAGAATAAAATACCTAGGAATAAACTTAAAAAGATTAAAGACACATACTCTGAAAACTATAAAACACGGATGAAGGAAATTGAAGACAACACAAACAGAAAGTTATTATATGTTCATCGATCTGAAGAACAAATACTGTTAAAATGTCCACACTACCCAAAGCAATCTACAGATTTAATGCAATACCTATCAAAATTC